CTTAAAATAAAAGATCAGCCTGAAGATCAAGACGGTTATCTATATATTGTCGATATAAGTCACCATTTTACTTGTATCTCTACGAAGAAGAGGAAGGTGGAGCATAATAAAAATATATAAATAATTAAGATATAAGGCAAACAACTGAGAGAGAGAGAGAGAGAGAGAGAGAGAGAGAGAGAGAGAGAGAGAGAGAGAGAGAGAGAGAGAGAGAGAGAGAGAGAGAGAGAGAGAGAGAGAGAGAGAGAGAGAGAGAAAGAAAGAGAAAGAAAGAGAGAAAGAGAGAAAGAGAGAGAGAGAGAGAGAAAGAGAGAAAGAGAGACAGAGAGACAGACAGATCGAGATCGAGAGCAAGAGAGAGAGAAAGAGGAAGAGGGAAACGAGGAAGGAAGACGGACATGGCCCTGCACGCCATAAACCAGAATCACTCCCCAGACCCCTCGTCCGAACTACAAACAATGTACCCGGGAACCTCCTGTCAAAGGGAGGGAGGGAGGGAAGGAAGCAGAAAGAAAGAGACATTGAGAAAGAGAAAGAGAAGGAAAGAGAGGGAAGAAAGGTGAGAGGGAGGGAGGAAGAGAGGAAAAGAAGGCGAAAGAAAGAGACATTGACAAAGAGAAAGAGAAGGAAAGAGGGGAGAAGGGAGGGGAGGGAGGGAGGGAGGGAAGGAAGCAGAAAGAGAGAGACATTGAGAAAGAGAAAGAGAAGGAAAGAGAGGGAAGAAAGGTGAGAGAGAGGGAGGGAGGGAAGGATGGAAAGAAGGCGAAAGAAAGAGACACTGAGAAAGAGAAAGAGAAGGAAAGAGAGGGAGGGAGGGAAGGAGAGAAAGAAGGCGAAAGAAAAACATTGAGAAAGATAAAGAGATGGAAAGAGAGGGAAGAAAGGTGAGAGGGAGGGGGGAAGGAGGGAAAGACGGCGAAAGAAAGAGACATTAAGAAAGAGAAAGAGAAAGAGAAGGAGAGAGAGGGAAGAAGGGAGAGAGAGTGTGTGTGATTGAGAGAGAGGCTGTCAAATCCTATCATAGCGTCCGTGATGAAAACTGATCTTCGCACACACACACACGCTCGTACCCACTCCCACACACCCTCACACCCACACTCTCCCGATGCCCTTTGGACAGATGCCCGCCGCTCCCCTCGACTGCTTTCGGCGTGGTGTGACCGGCGTGGCATCGGCCTCCGCCCGCCCGCAAGAAGCGATTCCTTGCCGCATCTGCCCCACATGACGTCACAAAAGACTCATTGATGACGCTCTTCTTCTATGCTCTACTCTCCTCTCCTCTCCTCTCTCTCTCTCTCTCTCTCTCTCAGTCTGTCTGCCTGTCTGTCTGTCTGTCTGTCTGTCTGCCTGTCCCTGTGTGTGTGTGTGTGTGTGTGTGTGTGAGTGTGTGAGTGTGAGTGTGTGTGTGTGTGTGTGTGTGTGTGTGTGTGTGTGTGTGTGTGTGTGTGTGTGTGTGTGTGTGTGTGTGTGTGTGTGTGTGTGTGTGTGTGTGTGTGTGTGTGTGTGCACGCGCGCGCGTGCGTGTCTGAGTGTCTATGAGTGGATTCATGCTAAACACTACATAAAGCAACAAAGGGAAGAAGAGCAAGAAAACACTCGAACAATCCCGAAGGCCTTTCCTCTGCACGGCCTCTTCCGGGCACGCACTGAAGAGCTCATTAAGGAGGAAAGGCCTTCGATGTATTGTTTATTACAGTGTACCTATATACACCCACCCACACCTGAACACCCGCACACCCACACGACGTCAGGGGGACAAAGAAAGCAATAGACTGATACAGAGCTGACACAAGGAGGTCAATTGCAAGATGGCGTGACGAAATACCGAAATTCGGGAGCCAAGAATGAAAACCGGAAACGCAAGACCGGAAAGACTAATATATATATATATATATATATATATATATATATATATATATATATATATATATATATATATATATATATATATATATAATGGGAGAGGCCTACGTCCAGCAGCGAAATGTTACGGGATAATGATGATGATTGATGACAATGAGGGGCAGTGGCGGTGCGTGTGCGTGCGTCCCTAAGTACCTGTGTGCGTACTTCCTCAAACGTCGGCGAATGCACGTGCACAACCAAGAGAGAGAAAGGGAGACAGAGCGAGACAGAGAAACAGGCAACAGAAGAGAAAGAAGAGAGCGGAGTCAAGAGCCCGAGAAAGGAGGCCGAAATGGTGACATCGCGGACATCGTGGTCGGAGGAGGGAGGGAGGGAGGAAGGGGGGGGGGAGGTCGTCGGAGCCATAATTCAACACGGGAACCCAAGGTAAACTAGGTCTGTCGCCGTCAGTGCATGGTATGAGGGAGGCGAGGGAGAGAAAGGATGGGCGGTGTGGGTGGAGGAGGAAGTTCACGTAAATCAACGTAAACCCTTAAAAAAAAATTCAAGTAAATATAATAATAACCATCACCAGCCACGGCCATCATGTTACAAATACGAGCAAGAACTTGGATTTTTCTTTTTCAAGGAAGTGCGATGACAAGTACAGCGCATCCCCACTCTTACCCCCCCCCCCGCCCCCCGCCCCCGGATGATGCCATTACTACGGCAGGGATGAGGATACGGCGAGAGGATGGGAAGGGGGAAGAGGCCAAGAGGGAGGGGTGCTGGAGAGGGTATTTGTGGGGGCAGATGGGTGTGTGGCTTGGGTATCCTATACACAGAATTAATAATTTTATAACATTTTGAATGGGTATATTTGGGGAAAAATCGTGCATATATCCCTGGCGAACCCAAGGATTAAAAACCACTGGTATAGAGGGTAGGCTGTTAAAACCCAAGAAGACGAAGAAGAAGAAGAATGAGAAGAAGAAGAAGAAAAAAAGTACTGAATAGGCATGACTCTAGGGTGGGTATAAGGTGAGCAGATGGGTGTGTGGCTTGGGTATTCTATACACAGGATTAATAATTTTATAACATCTTGAATGGGTATATTTGGGGGAAAAATCGTGCATATATATCCCTGGCGAACTCAAGGATTAAAAACCACTGGTATAGAGGGTAGGGTGTTAAAACCCAAGAAGACGAAGAAGAAGAAGAAGAAGAAGAAGGAGAAGAAGAAGAAGAAAAAAAAAAGTACTGAATAGGCATGACTCTAGTGTGGGTATAAGGTGAGCACAGGAAGACTTGAGTGGGTAGAGAAAAGTATGAAGGTGGATTGGCCCTGCACGAGAGGGACGGAAAGATGAGAAACGCTCTCCGTATGGATTTCCAAGGGCCGGGAAGCTGCTTGGCCGGCTAATCTTACAGCAGAGGGAGACAGTGAGCACAAGCCCCGAAATGGAAGTGGAGGGAGCTGGAGGTGCGTTGGGGGTGGAGGAGGAGGAGGAGGAGGAGGAGGAGGAGGAGGAGGAGGAGGAGAAGGTGGAGGAGGAGGAGCAGGAGGAGGAGGAGGTGAAGGTGAAGGTGGAGGAGGAGGAGCAGGAGGAGGTGGAGGAGGAGGAGGAGGAGGAGGAGGAGGAGGAGGAGGAGGAGGTGGTGGAGGAGGTGGAGGAGCAGGAGGAGGAGGAGGAGATGCAGGAGGAGGAGGAGGTGAAGGTGAAGGTGGAGGAGGAGGAGCAGGAGGAGGTGGAGGAGGAGGAGGAGGAGGAGGAGGTGGAGGAGGTGGAGGAGGAGGAGGTGGAGGAGGTGGAGGAGGAGGAGGAGGAGGAGGAGGGGGAGGAGGAGGAGGAGGAGGAGGTGGAGGAGGAGGTGGAGGAGGTGGAGGAGGAGGAAAGAGGGAAGAAGGCGTACAAGTGTAAGAGGGAAAAGAGAGAGAGAGGAGAGGGATAGAGGGGGGGGGGCACGCACAAGTGTTAACGGCGTGAAGGCCAAAAGCAAGAGTCGAGGATGGACAATGGAGCTTTTGAGCGTAAGGAGGCAACGAACAATGGCCGATAATCGTGCCAGGTGAATGAGTGAAGCCTCGGCCGGATGGATGGGAAGCGGAGGGGAAGGGAGGGGAAGGGAGGGGAAGGGAGGGGAAGGAAGGGGAGGGGAGAGAGAGAGGGGAGAGAGAGAGGAAGAGAAAGAGGAAGAGGAGAGGGAAGGGTAGAGAAGTGAAAAGAACGACAGGAAGCGTACGGGAAAGAAGGATAAAAGCGGGCGGGAGGGGAGGGGAGGGGGGGGGGCGAGAAGAAGAGATGCAGAGGATGTGAATGAATGTTCCGATCACATGAGTGGGAACAGTCTTAAGTGACAGTAACAGCTCAGCTCCATTTGCAGACGCCAGTCATTGGCTCTAGGATTACAGCCATTGTGACAGCAATCATCGAGGGACGCTTGTTCCTACTTGTTATCAAGCTTGATTCAAACACTGAATTTTCTATGCAAGTTCAGCGGCATAAAAGCCTATACTTGCGTATAAATATCCATCCACCTTTCAATTCTTCGCCTGAACATCATTCATTAATCGAAAAATGTCCTGTTTATCTAGGCGCCAAATATAAGACACGAAAGTGAAGACAAATTTGTAATTATTGACTGAATTCATAGGTAATCAAGGTCTAAACATCTCCAGCTGTTGAAGGAGGTGGAGGAAGAGAGGGAAGAGGTGGAAGAGGACAAAGAAGTGGAGATAATGGAAGAAGAGGAAGAGGAGGAGCAGGAGGGGGTGGAAGAGGACATGGACGTGGATATAATGCAGGAAGAAGATGAGGAAGAGGAAGAAGAGGAAGAGGAGAAAGAGAAGGGGCCGTCCCGGGGCCACACGGTATTTACACTCAAAGAGGCCACCTGAGAACCACAGAAGAGGCAGTTGAGGTTCTAGAGACGCCCGTCCTCTCTCCCTCCCTCCCTCTCTCTCTCTCTCTCTCTCTCTCTCTCTCTCTCTCTCTCTCTCTCTCTCTCTCTCTCTCTCTCTCTCTCTCTCTCTCTCTCTCTCACTCACGAAAGCTCGCCTCAAAATACACCCGCAAGAGCTGAGTAAAGCGACGCTTCTCGCCCGCAGGAGTAAGGGCACCAAATACAAGGGGAAAGATCTCAGTACTCACGGCTAATGTCGGCGAGCAGTTGGGCGACACGGTGGAGGCGTTGGAGTTGTTGTTGTTATTGTTGGTGGTGGAGGTGGTGGAGATGCCCGAGATGCCCGAGGTGGTGGATTGGGGCGTTGTGGGAGTGGTGGCGGTGGGCGACGACGACGGGGACGTGGAGGGCGTCATGTCCGTCACGGGCGTGGGCGGCGTCGGGGGGTTGCCGGAAGGGGGCCCACCGTTGGTCGCAGGCGTGGGGATGGCGATGGGCGCGGGCGGCGGAGCGGTGTCGGTCATGGTGAGAGGGACGCCCACGGTACGCCCACAGGAGACGGCGAGGGCAGGTTGAAGGAAGAGGAAAACACAAATACGTGAGTCAAGTCACAAGTAAAATCAAGACACTTAGTCTACTCTCTGCCACTTCGCTGCGGCAATCACTTGCCTTAGGCTCAATCTTTACACTGTTACTGTTTCGTGTTATTACTCTCCTGTGTCCTGCAAACAACATACACATTTAGACACAATACATCTGCGCTATCAGGCCCTGTAGCACATGTTGAATCACTTTCCGCTCGTTTCACTTTAGCATAGCCCTTTCGCAGCACACAAGACCCCGCCCCCATCCATCTCGGTTCTATTATCGCATCATGGCTTTGTTCCGCGACGACTAACAGCACCGTCTTCAACAACAGCCCTCCCTCCCCCACACCCACACACCCACATCCCACATCCCTCACCCAAACAACATCGCGTACCGCACGCCGTCGGGTCCCGAGCGCCATCCACATGAATAGCATCAACATTACGCGTCGAGAAACGCAAAAACAGGAAGTGGCTGACGCAGAACGTCCCGCGCGAGTCAATGGCGTGTTGATCGACCCTGCATATCAAGTATTCCCGCTCAGGGCACCAAAGACGGCTCGGGTAACAGCCCTTCTACGGAGAGTCACTGGCCCTGGCGGGGAGGCGGTGGCGGGCGGCCGAGATGCAGAATGAAGGCTAATTGTTCAAATGCTGCAGTCAGAGAATCCACACGAAAGACCATTAATCGTCATTCAAAAACCGTTTCTAGGCGAAGCACCGTAATTTATGAGCTACAGTTAAACCTGCATTGAACACTGTCCAGTTCAAGAATGCAACGAACATGGATGCTACAGAAGCGCTTCTACTGACCGCCCCCCCCCATCCCCCATTTAATCTCCAGCAAGCAAGCTGTTCTTAAATTCATCGAAAATCTTGCTCCCAAAGAATGTTACAGCTCTTCAAGGAAATATATATGAAAATATTACTTCTCAATGAAATTAGCAAACAAGCAAATCCAATTCCCTCTTCTTACTCTTTCAGCCACTCCTCTCCCTCTCTCTCCCTTCCTTGCTTTCTTTCTCCTCCCCCCCTTTATCTCTTTCTTTCTTTCTTTCTTTCTTTCTTTCTTTCTCTCTCCCTTTCTCATCCTCCCTTCCTCCCTCTCCCTCCCTCTCATTCAAACACAAGACTTAGGAGACCGTGCAGTTATGCCAGCACCAGCAACATGACACCGTGCAAGCAGGGAAACGAAAGCACGAAGGCTTCCTCCCCTCACCCTTCTTTTCCCTCCTCTCACCCTTCCTTCCCCTCCCCTCCTCTCACCCTTTCTTCCCCTCCCCTCACCTTTTCTTCCCCTCCCCTCCTCTCACCATTCTTTTCCTTCCCCTCCCCTCACCTTTTCTTCCCCTCGCTTCCCCTCCTCTCACCCTTCTTTTCCTTCCCCTCCCCTCACCCTTTCTTCCCCACCCTTCACCCTTCCTTCCCTTCCCCTCACCCTTTCTTCCCCTCCCCTCCCCTTACCCTTTCTTCCCCTCCCCTCACCCTTTCTTCCCCACCCTTCACCCTTCCTTCCCCACCCGCTATACCCTCGAACCATCCCCCGCCTTGCATAATAGTCTTTGGCTCGGCAACCCTACAACCCCTTTCACTTCACCCTTCTCCCCTCCCCCCCTCCCCTTCTCCACTTTCCAATGTACTCCCTTCGTTACCTGTCCCCTCAGATTTCATGCCGGGTGTATCATCCTGCTGCCCGTCCTCAGGCACTGGAAAAGCATCAGGGAGAGGGAGGAAAAGAGGGTTAGAGAGAGAGAGAGAGAGAGAGAGAGAGAGAGAGAGAGAGAGAGAGAGAGAGAGAGAGAGAGAGAGAGAGAGAGAGAGAGAGAGAGAGAGAGAGAGTGAGAGTGAGAGAGAGAGAGAGAGAGAGAGAGTGAGAGAGAGAGAGAGAGAGAGAGAGAGAGAGAGAGAGAGAGAAGGAGAGAGAGAGAAGGGCGAGAGAGAGAAGGGCAAGAGAAAGAGCGGGAGAAAGAGATAGAGCGAGAGCGAGAGAGAAAGAGAGAGCAAGAGAGAGCGAGAGAAAGAGCCGGAGACAGCGAGAGAGAGAGAGAGAGAGCCAGCCAAGGAGTCACCACCGAAATGGGCCCCGAGGCAAGTCCAACGAGCCACGCCACTAATTCGCACAAAAATCTGAGACGCTGACATCACACAAAGAAAATCCGGTTCT